TGAGGGGCTGCCATAAAGAGGGGGGGGGCCAAGCACCAGAAGCAACCGATGGAAAGTAATCAAGGAGAGAAGCAACCTGGAATGAAGGAGGAACTTCCTAACAGTGAGGACAATTAACCAGTGGAACAGAAGTTGCCTCCAGAAGTTGCGGGTGCTTCATCACTGGAGACTTTTAGGAAGAGACTGGACAGTCAACTTGTTTGAAATGATATGAGCAGGGGGTAGGTCTAGAAGACCTCCAAAGTCCCTTCCAGCTCTATTCTGATTGAATTACAGGAAACTCCCAGGACATATGAATGGCCTTGAGGGCTTCAGTGGAAGGCCAGCTATTCAAAGAAGCACTGTAATCTAGGCTTTTGAGAAATTTACCAACAGATCATGGCTCTCCTGGTGTCTTCAACTTACAGGCGATGCCCCCTTGGCGGGACCCCCCCTCTTGCTCCTCACCTTCTTGGCCCAGCTCCTTCTTTGCAACATCTGCAGAGTTGGTGTCTCTTTCTTCTACCTCTGCTAGCCCAGGAGTTGCTGTTCTACATTCAGATTGCAGAAGGCACCCGTGACATCAGTGGGCTCTCCATCTGCGTTTATGACGTTACATTGTGAAAAGCCATTTCTGGTAATGCATGTTTATCAAAAACTCATTTAAGTTTTCTTCTTGTTAGTTTATTGAAGGATAAACTACAATTACATTAGATTCATATCTTCCTTGTTCCTGATAAGTTTTAAAATGGTTGCTAAATAAGTATTCTGTTGTCCAGTATCTTTCATGGTGCATGAAGATGCAGCTGGAAAGGAATCAGAGAGTGAAGGCATTTTGTTCTTAACCTAATTAAATTACTCGATGCAGCGGTGGAAAAGGAGACCCTATTAACCCTTTTTTTACAAGTCAGTTTGCACTCTTTTCTGTGAGTCACCACAACAGGCCTTTGAGTTGCCAAAATCTGGTAGACCTAGAGGAATCTGAGAGATAAAATTGTGGATGTGATCAAGAGCTTATCAAAAGTTCTTTTGTCTTATTGCTATTCGTTTTTCTTTTTTTTTCTGGAGAAGTTTCTATCTTGGAAAGTTTCTTTTCCTCTAAAATTCCCCCGTTATTATCTGTAGAACATAGAACAATAGGTTGTAAGGGACTCTGGAGGTCTTCTAGTCCAACCCTTTACTCAAGACAGTTCTTTGGCCTATTTCTAAGACTCCCTTAAATTGTCAGGACACAACAGTTGCCCATGAAACAACCTTCTTCCTCGTGAAAGAACCAGGCTCTTAAAATAAAACGCAAAGCAAACACAACTTTGCCACCATTAGTCTCTCAACCCAGAAACACAACGTAACACTTTCAACCAAACAATAGTTGCATATTATGCTGAAGGAACAGGCCTTGGCTATAATTAACTTAGGAGAGGTGGAGCTGAAAGCAATTTTACCTTCCTACCTTGCTATGGAGGTAATAATCTTTGGGTTTCAATAAACAAATGCAACCCTTGATAACCTCTGCCGTGCTTATATAATATTTTCTGTTAAGAAAATGCTTTTCTTTTTGTTTATTTCATCAGAGAGGATTTCTTTCTCTTTGTTCTTTTTTCAATGAAAGCTAACTCTTGCAGTTTAAAGGCAGGAGTGTGCAAGAGGATCCAAACAATCAAAATGACAACTGAATCATTGCACGACATCAAATCCCCTTTGCATATTATGACTCCCCTCCCCTCCAGCCAGACGGGCTGTTTAGAGAGGTGCAGCATGCTTTGAATTTCCTGGCATTCAGCTGAAAATGGCCCTGGATATTGTTGAAATTAATCATTTTTTTCTAATAATCCATTTTGACAATTGGGAATCTCTCCTTTTGCAACTGACAGAGGGCCCCTAAAAATCTCTTACAGCTTGAACCACTTCAAACAATTGCCTTGGTACTATTATACAAGAGAATATATTCGGAACATTTAGAAACTGACTCTATTGCTATTCTCATCACTTTTTGCAATCTCTTATCTACCATCAGCAGAGAAATACTTAGCTGCTTTTAATCTGCATATTAAGATAAAAGCTGCCTCGCCTTGTATTTTTCAGATTTTATACAACAAATGTCAAAGCCTGACTTAATTCTGGAACCTGGGAACTAAACAGTCTGCTTTCTGATTTCCTAGAAGGAAAGAAGAAACGTATTATTCTCCAAAGCACCAGAAGGCAGGACAAGAGGCAACGGGTGGAAACTGATCAAAGAGAAAAGCAACCTAAAACTAAGGAGGAATTTCCTGACAGTGAGAACAATTGACCAGTGGAAGACTTGCCTCTAGAAGTTGTGAGTGCTCCATCACTGGAGGTTTTTAAAAAGAGATTGGACAATCATTTGTCTGGAATTGCAAATGATCTCCTGCTTGAGCAGGGGGTTGGACTTCTAACTGTTATTACAATTTAGCATTTCTCTTTTTAAGCTGTTTTAATACAGTAATGACATTGCGGAGATGCTGCTGTGGTTTCTCCCTTAAAATTAGGACAACTCACTTAAGTTTCCACGTTCCAGAAGAAGAAACGGTCAATTAAGGACATCTTAAAAGATCACCACCCTAAGATAGGAAGCTAAAACAACAGACTGGCAGAGTTGCCATTGTTTTCTTGAATATATTGCTTTCGATTTTTTCCCCCCTTGCCTAAAACTGAATCTTCCTTTCTGAAAGCATTCTATTGTTTACCTCTTTGGCATACACTTTTTCAATAGAGGTAGACTGGCACTTCGTTTTGGGACAAAATAAACTTGCGCCAACAAAGATTTTACCAATTTGCTCATTTTAAGAAGCTTTATTATCATTGAATTACATTTACATTAGCTACATTAGGAAGTTGTCTCCTCTGAAATGTTTGCATCTACAGCTTCCTCCCAAACAAGCTGGTGTGCAATGCGTTTACTGGGGGCGCTCATCAAACAGCATCTCCCGTGGGCAAAGTTCAAAGGACGCCGGGCAGGGCAGGTTACGGGGTGGCCTGGGTGTGGATGCCTTGAAGATGTTTGCATTTGCAAGAGATCACGTCAGCCAGCCATGCTCTGTGGTGACACAAAGTCTGCCCAATGACTGTGACTCCGTGCTCCGAGTCGCCTAAGGAAAGGGGTTTAAAAGAGGAACCGTCCTTATGGGTCGTTTCTGGTGAAATTATTGCTGGGAACATTCTGGGTCTGTGGTTCTCTTGAGAAGGGGACTATGTGGCTAGGAAAGGTGGGAAAGCCAACCAAAATTAAAGCGGAATATAACAGATTGACAGAGTTGGAAGAGACCTTGGAGGTCATCTAGTCCAACCCCCTGCTCAGGCAGGAAACCCTATACTATTTCCGACAAATGGCTGTCCAATCTCTCCTTAAAAACGTCCAGTGTTGGAGCATTCACCACTTCTGGAGGCAGGTTGTTCCACTGGTTAATTGTTCTGACTGTCAGGAAGTTTCTCCTTGGTTCCAGGTTTCCTTAATGGGGTCCCACCCGTTGCTTCTTGTCCTGCCTTGGAGAATAGGTGGACCCTTGGGGGGGGTCACGGGATCCCCCTTTGCGACCTTCTGACAAGCAATGGTGGAGCCTGATTCACTTAACAACCGGGTTAGTCACTTAACAGCTGCAGTGATTCACTTAACAACCGTGGCAAGAAAGGGCATAAAGTGGAGCAAAGCTCCCTTAACAAATGCCTCCCTTAACAGCCGAGGTTTGGGGCTCCGTTCTGGTCGTAAGGCGAGGACGACCCGCGATTAAATCAGCCCGCCCGCCTCCTCCCGCCCTTGACCGCCGGGCCAGAGGAGCACAGGGCTGCAGGGGCCGCGGAGGAAAGAGCGCCTCTCGCCCTTTCGGGCACCGGCGGGAGGAGCCGCCGCTTTCCGCCCCGCATCCTGACGCATGCGCACTGGGCAGAAACGCCGCATCCTCTCCGGATTCCGCTCCGGGTCTTCTCAGACCCGCCTCCCTCCGAGCTCAGTGGGCGGGGCCGGGCGCGCGTGCGTGCTGCGTGTGGCCGCCTGCGTGTGGCGTGCCACGGGGGAGGGGGGCGGGGGGCGGGGCGGCGCGGCGCGCGCGGCTACTGGGGCTGCCGAGGCTGCCGGCGGCGGCGACCTCACTTCCGGGCCTGCCGCGCGGCCCAGGGGGCGGGAGCGCGCGAGGGGCCGCGGCGCTGTCGGAGGGGCGAGACGCGACCTCCGCTGGGAGAAGGTACGTGTGAAGGCGCGCGAGGGAGGGAGGGAGGGAGGGGGAGAGGCGGCGGGGCAGAGGGCGCCCCCTCCCCTCGCCAGCGCTGTCTCGCCCGTGTCTCGCGTGGCGGGTCGGGCTGCACCTGTTGCGCTGCTGCCTGGCAAGGAAGGGAGGCGGGCGCGAGTGGACAGCTTCGGGAAGTTGGCCTGAAAAGGCAGAGGAGGAGAGGAAAAGAGAAAGAAGAGGAAGGGGGGAAGGGAAAGAAGAGTCAGAAGAAGAAGAGAAGAAGGAGGAGGAGGAAGAAGGAGGAGAGAAGAAGAAGAAAAGAAGAAAGAAGGAGGAGAAGAGAAGAAAAGAAGAAGGGAGAAGAGAAAACGGAGGAGGAGGAGAAGAAGAGAAAGAAGAAGGAGAGGAAGGGGGACAGGGAGCCTGGAGGAGCACCGGGAAGATTCAGCCTCTCCGGGAGGGAGGGAGGCAGGCGGGGAGAGGATGCCGCTCAGGGCAGCCAGACCCGCTCCTGCCCCGGGGCTGGCGGAGGACGCTGGACGAGAGAAGGGGGGATCCGGCCGGGGGGGGGGGAAGAATCCAATGACCCAGCCAGGGAGGGTTTGGATCCTCTCTTGGGGACCCCTCCTTTGGCGGGCTCCGGGGGGGCCGCTAGATTCTGTGACTTTCAGGGGGGCTTTGGGGGGGATTGTAGGAAGAGAACCGGGGGGGGGGAGAGAATCATTTTGCCTTTGAATAAAATGCGCAAGTTGGAAAAGTTGATGCGACCAAACTCCTGCCGACGGGTGGCGGGGGGGGGGGAGGGAAACTCCGCTCCTTGTGCCTCTTTCCGAGCCGAAATGAACATTGAACCCATATTTACCACCAGTGGGTTTTTTCCTCCTTTCCCGCCCTCCACTTTTCTTCCTCTTTGGACTTAATACGGAGGGATGTTTTCCCTTTTTCGTCTATTCCCCCCCCTTCTGTTTGCGGCCCACCCTGTCTTTGTGGCCCAGCCTGGGGAAGCGGAAGGAAAGGGGATTTAAAAGCCTTCCGTCCAAGGATGCATGTTCAGCCTGTCATGGAGCCATCCTAATGCATGCTTGCTGGCGTGAAAAATGCTCAGGGTTACTCAAAGATTTTGGAGAGGACTTCGGGACCCCTTAGGTCATGGCTAGCTGGGGAATTCTGGGAGTTGAAGTCCACAGGTATTAAAGGTTGGGGACCTCTGCCTTCGATGGACAGCTGTGTGGTCCGAGAGAAGCAGGGGTCCGTTCTGCTGGACCTTGTGAATCCAGAGTTTGCTTAGAGATTATGTTTATGGACTGAGCGCCTCTTGCCACAGGCTTGGACTTTGCACAAGGCGGCATCTTTGTATCTCCCAGCCAAAGTCCAACCAAAGAAATTGCCTGTAAACCTACCTGCTAACGGAGTTCTACTGTATTTTCTCTGTGTGTGTGTGTGGGGGGGGGAGTCAGTTCTTGTAGGAGTGTCAGTGAGATTTCTGTCCTCTTGGCAGCAACTGGAAGACTGGAACTTCCTTGCCTGCATAGGTGAGTCACGTGAAGGAGGTGGATTTTTCCGGAGGACAGCAGGGCAAAGGTGTTCTTCTCCTTGAGATGGTTATATGGCTTGGGCAGAAGCCACTGAAATCAACCCCACTTCGCAGAACTTTTCTGCTATCTGCCAGGGGGTGGAGTGACTGTTACTTTTTATAGGAAAAAAAGAACTTGTTTCTGCAAGTTACTTTTATTATCCAGCCCTGGTTACCTGCTCAAGCCTTTCTGGGACAGTCTAAAAGTCATTGGAAGGACGGGAGGGCGCATTAGAGAGACCAGTAAGTATTTTGAAAAGCAGCATGACAGAAATGGTGTGTGTGTGTGTGTGTGTGTGTGTGTGTGTGTGTGTGTGTGTGTTGTAACTCTTGAATCCCTTGACCATTATTTTATTCAGCGGTGTTGGAGATGGTTGCTGTAACAAGTTGCTTTGCCAGCAGCTATCGGTTGAGCCAAGATCCAGACACCGATTAATGAAATTTAGTTTTACCTTAGTTTATTTGCACACTTAGAGTTAACACATTTCTGGACTTTGACAAATGCAGTAACAAAAAGGATGAATGGTGTATAAGGTTGTCTTTTTGAGTTCATTCTCATTTGTACCCCCAATTAAATGTGCATAAAGTCATTTTTATAGATAGCAGCAACAGTTATGGGGTGTGTGTGTGTCAGAACTGAGATTTTGGTTTTTTTAAGGATCCTCTGCTTGCTTGCTTTGCCTTTAAACATTGATCATTTCTTTCCCTTGTAGCCTTATAAGAATTCCTTTTCGGAAAGATGATGGGTGTGGATGCAAAGCAGTAATTATATTGTACCTTAGATTGCGTAATATCTGGTTTAATAACATCTGCTTTATTACCTGCTCGGGACCATCAATAGATTGGTTCTTTGTTTTGTTGTTTTCCCTGCAGTTTGTCAGTCCTTGCCACCCTCTGGCACAAAGCATTTCATTAGTGCCAAAACGATGGAGTCTCTAGATGTAATTCCAGATTACAAACATTGCTATAAACCTTATCTTATTGATTGGTTCTTTTAACATTTACTATTTAAATGATTTATTAAGAAAACTGGAGCAAGAAATGGCCAAAAAGATTTTGGTTTTTGTACCTAAAAACACCTTGTTTTAGTGTGGTCTAGCTTTTTTTTTTTTTTTTTTTAGGAATTTAGAACCTTGTATTTTAGCAGCTTACCTCCTTTGCCTTTTATGCTGAAGCTTCTCTTTCTCCTTTCTTCTGGGGTGCGTGGCTGAAGAGTGGATTTAATCAGACAATTGTTTACTTACTGCTCTTACTGAGCATTTTACGAAGTATTGTGATATAAGGAAATGAAATGCTTCTTTAAGAGTTCACACTGCAGCATTTACTGTTTGGTGAGACCAGCAGATATCTATCTGGATTGTATCATTTCTTTAAAATTAATTTCTTTAAAATTTGGACTTTATTAGATTTTTTTCATCCCATCTTTATTACTTCATAAGTATCTCAAGGCAGCGACCATATATGATGCTCCTTTCTCCTTCTGTTCCCCCCCCCCGAACAACAGTCTTGTGCAGTAGGTTGGGTTGAGAGAGTCTGGTTGACCCAAAGTCAACCAGCTGGCTTTCGGCGAAAGCTGGATTAGAACTCACAGCCCTAGGATTCTAGGCCAGCACCTTCACCAGGATAGTACTCCTTGACTTACAATTGTAGTAGAATCAGACATTTCCGTTGTATGTCATGACTGTTGTAAGTCAAGACACTCGAGTGACCAATCCAATTTCATTACCTTTTTTGGGCAGTCATTAAGCAAACACAGCAGCCATTAAGCAAATATCGCTGTTGTTAACTGAAGCCCTTGTCCACAAGGGGCAATTTTTGCTAGAAATCAGAAGTAAACACCAGTTTCTGGCAAAAAAAAAAAGCTGTAAATCACAGCTATCTGACTGTGGGGCTCTGCAGGCAGTGGTCATCACAGGTGGGTTGCTGGCCCCCCAAAATGTGATCATGGGACTGTGGGAAGCGGGCAGCTACCAGTACTTTAGGGGGAGATGATTAGGGGATGATTAGGGGACTGGAGGCTAAAACATATAAGGAACGGTTGCGAGAATTGGGTATGTCTAGTTTAACGAAGAGAAGGACAAGGGGGGACATGATAGCAGTATTCCAATATCTCAGGGGCTGCCATAAAGAAGAGGGAATTAAGCTATTTTCCAAAGCACCTGAAGGCAGGACAAGAAGCAACGGGTGGAAACTAATCAAGGAGAGAAGCAACCTAGAACTAAGGAGAAACTTCCTGACAGTGAGAACAATTAATCAGTGGAACAGCTTGCCTCCAGAAGCAGTAAATGCTCCAACACTGGAAGTTTTTAAGAAGAGACTGGACAGCCATTTGTCCGAAATGGTGTAGGGTTTCCTGCCCGAGCAGGGGGTTGGACTAGATGACCTCCAAGGTCCCTTCCAACTTTATTACTATTACTACTTTACATCCAGGTTGTAAATACCATTTGGGGGTCTGCCATATTGTCAAACAGTTGCTAAGCAACCAATTACAAGTCAAAGACTATCTGTACAACCAAACTGACTTCATAGGATAGTAATACTGTCCTATATATTCCTATATAGTATAGCAGGGGTCTTCAAAGTTGGCCCTTTTATGACTTGTGGACTTCAACTCCCAGAATTCCTCAGTTGAAGTCCACAAGTCATAAAAGGGCCAACTTTGAAGACCCCTGCTTTATAGTAATATATGAAGCTGTTATGGAGAAGTAAAAGAGCAGAAGGGGGGGTGCTCTATTTCTCCCATAAATTAATTGATATTTTTCTCCTCCGCTTCTGATAGAAAGACAGTATAGGGCAAATCCTGACAAAGGAGGGGGAGGGGTTTGGAGCGTTTCAATTTTTTTTTTTTTTTTTGTAAATTGCATTCTGTCATTATGTCGCTTAGGACTCCCCTTCTCTTAAAATGGCTATAGAGTCATTCTGACTTAAAGATATGCCTTTCTTTTTTTTTTTTTTTTATTAAAAAGTTTTATAAATTTTACAAAAAATAAGAAACAATACAAAAACAAAAAACAACATATACAAATAAAAAACAAACATTACCCAACAAAACCCCCCTTCCCCCACCCCTACCCAAACCCCCCCTTCCCCCCCCCAAGACCTCCCAGAGCAGAATATAGGCTTAATTAAAGAAAAAGTTAAAAAAATTTATAAAAAAAGAATATAAAATAGAATATATATATATATATAAAGTTAAAAATTATGAAAAAACTATATAATATTTTTTTATATCAAATTTAAATTGTATGAATTTTATCCATTTATCCCAAACAGCAAGAAATTTCTCTTGCGTTTGTCCCTTTAAGAAAGCCGAAATCTTTGCCATTTCCGCCAAATGAGACACTTTAAGAAACCATTCCTGCAATGTAGGCAAAGATTCCTTCTTCCAATATTGTCCTACTAACAGCCTCGCAGCTGTTATCAAGTTTAACATCAATATAACCTCCTTTGTGTCACAATCAGTAACTATACCTAACAAAAATAATTGTGGAGTAAATTTTACCCTCCTTTTAAAAATTCTCTGGATATTCCACCATATCTTAATCCAGAATGCTTTTATCTCTCTGCACGACCACCAAATATGATAATAAGTAGCATCCATACAACCACATCTCCAACATTTAGGTTGTAAGTCAGGGTACATAAAAGACATTTTTTGTGGATCAAGGTGCCATCTATAAAACATTTTATAAAAATTCTCCCTTAAGTTCTGTGCTTGTGTAAATTTGACATTTCTCACCCAAATAATTTCCCAGGTGTCCAATGGAACTGGCTCACCAAAATTCTGCGCCCATCTAATCATACAATCTTTAATTAGTTCCGTTTCTGAATCCAATTCAACTAAAACCCCATAGATCCTCTTAATGTGGGTTTGTCTTTGATCCTTCACTTGCTTAATAAGATTTTCATCTTCTCTGTGAAAACCCACCTTACAGTCCATCTTCCATCTATCTAATAATTGCCTATATTGGAACCAAGAATAAATAATATTTTCTTGTGCTAACTCTTCCCGTAATTTTAACTGCCAGTTTTGTCCATCCCATTTAAGTAACTGTCTATAGGACACCATATCCATTTTAACCCCTCTTTTTATTCCTTCTATTGCATGCCAAGGTACGGCCCATAATGGTACTTTTAAAATCACTTTTGTAATATTTTCTCCAAACCCTAAGTAAAGAAATTCTTAAGATATGAGATTTAAAAGCCCAATCCATTTTTTTATTAAATATTAAATAGGCATGCCACCCAAAAAGTAAATTCCATCCCTCTAAGTGAAGTATATCAGAATTTGTCAAATTTACCCAGTCACTAACTAATGTTAAAACCACCGCATCATAATATAATTTCAAATTCGGCACCTTGAGTCCTCCCCTCTCACGGAAATCTTGCATAATTTTAAACTTAACCCTTGGCTTTTTCCCTGCCCAAATAAATTTATTAAGGCCTTTCTGCCACTCAGTTAAATTGATCTCATTCTTCAAAATCGGTATCATTTGGAACAAAAAGAGAAACTTGGGTAGAATATTCATTTTTATCACTGCAATTCTTCCCATGAGGGATAATTGCAACTTTTCCCAATTCTTCAAGTCTCTCTGTACCCTAACCCACAACCTTTCATAATTATTTTTAAATAATTTTGCATTAGAAACAGATAGCATCACCCCCAAATATTTTACCTTATTAACAATTTCAAAACCCGTCAAGTTAACCAAAGTCTGCTTCTCCCGACTAGTCATATTTTTAGGTAAAATTTTTGTCTTATTAACATTAATCTTAAAACCCGAAACCAAACCATAATTATGAATCAGCTGTAATAATTTTACTACAGAATAAGTAGGTTGCGACAAAGTGATAACCAAGTCATCCGCAAAAGCTCTTAACTTATACTCTTTTTTATTAACTTCTATTCCTTTAATTTCCTGCGACTCTCGAATTTTGATCAACAGTATTTCCAGTGTTAAAACAAACAGCAACGGTGATAATGGGCAACCCTGTCTAGTACCTTTCTCTATTGTAAAAACCTCTGACAAACCTCCATTAACGATAAGTTGTGCCGTTTGTTTTTGATATATTACCATAAGAGCTTGCAATATCTTTTCACCAAAATTCATCTCTTCCATTACTCTTAACATAAAATGCCAATTCAATTGATCAAAAGCTTTTTCAGCATCTAAAAATATCAGCCCTGCAGGAACTTGGTTGTTTTTATCTAAATATTCTAATAAATTAATAATTTGTCTGACATTATTTTTCATGTACCTTCCAGTTATGAACCCAGATTGGTCTTTATGCACAAGGTGGTGCACAACCCTCATAAGCCTATTTACTAAGATTTTTACAAATATCTTGTAATCCACATTTAAAAGAGATATAGGCCTATAATTCTTAGGTAAAGTAAGATCTTGATCTTCCTTTGGAATCAATGATATAAAAGCAGTACGCCATGAGGGAGGAATCTCTTGACCCTGTAAAATGCCATTAAAAAGATCACCTAATGGTTGAGCCATCTCCTCCAATAAGGCTTTCTTAATATGTATGTTATTGCTTGCTTGATGTGATAATGTAGAGCTAGGAAATTGAAAGCAGAAGAAAGGAATTTGGTTACAAACGGGATGCAAAGTAACTAAGATAATACATAGTTAAGTAGATACTCAAGATTATAATTATGTATAGCTAAGAGCTCCTACAAAAAGGATAATTTGGATCTTTTTGCATGAATTCATCTTTGGAAATGCAGACTGCTCCATCCATTGTGCTAAATATGTGTTGACTGAGCCAACTCTGGTTGAATTCACTTTGTTCTAGACCAGGGGTAGGCCACCTTGGCTCTTTTATGACTCGTGGACTTCAACTCCCAGAATTCCTGAGCCAGCATGGGGAAACTATGGCTCCTTCATGACTCGTGGACTTCAACTCCCAGAATTCCTGAGCCAGCATGGCTCAGTTTGGAAACCTCTCTCTTTTCCCTCAGCGTGGCTGGCTCAGGAATTCTGGGAGTTGAAGTCCACGAGTCATAAAAGAGCCAAGGTTGCCTACCCCTGGTCTAGACTATAATGATAGTTTACAACTCAGTATTTAAGTCCAAACCAAAGAAAGTGCTGTATTAGCATGCCTAGGAATCTGGTAGTAGTTACTTTAGTTTTTGATCTACAGACTAGGTTTCTCCGTAGAGCTAAGCTATGATGAAGTTTGCACGCTATTTGAATCCAGTTGCAAACCATTGTTTACAGTGTGGCTGGTTGCTCAAATTCGTCAGGTTTGGACTAGTTTATTTACTTGTTCAACTTCTGTGGCCACCCACTTGCCAAGCCAGTGGCCATGCCTTCCCCAGCACTGCATAAATTAGACTTGTATGAGGATACCACCTTAAAATCAGTCTAACATCTAGCCAGGTCTTGTTTTCCCTCTGCAGCCACTCCCCTTCTCACTCCCTGGATAATTACTCTGCTCTTGCCGCCTCCTCCATTGGCTGCAGATGGGTGCTTTGGTTTGGCTTGGCAGCAACTGTTACTGTAATTGCAGCAGCCAGACGACATGCCCAAGTTGGGGTGATTGAGCTTCCTTCGTGATTGCTCATGTCAGAAGAAGTTTCACTGGTTCAGTTTCTGTGGACCAAATTGTGTTACAGTGTGGTAACGTGTTGCTGCCGGTGCTGAGGGAGTCCTGGGGACCATGGAAAGCTCCGTCTCCAGTATCCAGTTAGGGTGGTCCACAAGAACAGGTAGTCCTTGATTTACGATCACAAATGAGCCCAACATTTCCGTTGCTAAGTGAAACCTTGGTGAGTGAATTTTGGCCCATTTTACAACCTTTCTTGCTGCCGTTAAGTGAATTACTGCAATTATTAAATTAGTTTCACGGTTGTTAAGTGAAGCTGTCTTCATTTATTGACTTTGCTTGTGAGAAGGTTGATCAAAAAGTGATCACGTGAGTCAGGGACACCGCAACCGTCATAAGTATGAATCAGTGGCCAGGCCTCTGAATTTTGATCACCTGACCTCGGGGATGCTGCAACGGTCATAAGTGTGAAAAATGGTCATAGGTCACTTTTTTTTAGTACCATTGCAACTTTGAACGGTCACTAAATGAACTGAGGACTACTTGCAAAGTTTTTTCTTACCATGGAAGTAAAACTAACCTGTGAAACAAAGAACCCCAATATTGTTCAGGAATTTACAGTTCCCTTCCCTTCAGAGGCAACTCAAAAGAAGGGGGCCGTTATGTAGGACAGGGGTCCCCAACCCCGGGCCACAGCCCGTTCAGAAGCAGGCCGCACAAGGGGCGGGCTAGCGAGTGCGTATGTGCAGCTCCCTTTGCACGAGTGACGGGAGAGCGTGGGTGTGCACGCAGCTCCCCTTGCATGAATGACGGGCATTTGTGCTTGTTTGCAAAAGTCCCATTTGTGTGGGTGCGGGTGCCCGCCGTTTGTGCAAATGGAGCTGCGCGCATGAGCACATCTATGCCTGCTCTCGGAGGGGCTGGGCATCACCGATGTAAAATGGAAAGAAAAAGGATAGCTGAAAGTGAGTTCAGCTGAAGGGTGTCATTTGAGAGGGGAGCTGTTGAAACAGATGCCCTCTGGGTTCCTCGGAGGAACCCCGCAGTCCAAGACCATCTTTAGGCGCCCCCCCCTCCCCGATTGCTCTGGGAGACTTTCAGGGATAGAAAGGGAAATGCGGTTAGATAACATTCAGGCTTTATTTCGTTAAGTTTTAAATCTATTTAAAGGCGTGATTGCTATTTATAGTGGTGACTACTTAGTTAAAACTGTAGCTTATCCATATATCTTCGTTTGAAAATCACCCAAAGCTTTGAACTCTCTCTCTGATCTGACACAAAAAAGATGCATCGTTTATGCAGAAGCTGTGGACAAATGAACCGCAGTCAACTCGCCCTTGATCTTTACTATCTAATTGAATACAAGGACAAGCAATTTATCTACTAATGAGTACCCAATTTTATTTGGGTTGCTAGGTTTTTTTTTCTTGAAATAGCCAAATTCCAGGTGAATTTGTGCAACTTAACCACCTGTGAACCCTGTTATTTTTATTCTGTTTAAGGTGGAAAGAGGAGCAGTCCAGAATTCTTGGTGGGTCTGTCAGCAACAAGCAAAGGCACCTATATAATGGCAGAGAAACAAAAAGTGGACACATTTTCTACTTCTAGTTTTCCAAAAACCTGTCAGAAATGGTAGGTACAATTTATAACTAACACGCTCTGGGAATTTCCGAGTCTCGAATGTCCAAAATAGGGAAAGTCATCAAGTACTGTTTTGTTTGTGTTAAGGCACCTGGGGTCTTTGTTTGGAGGCTGGGACCCATGAGCTGGTGGTAATTTTTTCCCCCTCCCATTGCTTAATCTTACAAGAATTAAAAATGTAAAGTGCACACATCAGCAACCCACTTTCATTATGGGATATTGAAGTTTGATCCTTAAATTTCATTTCAGAAATGGCTGGCTGCCTGTGTGCCTTGAAAGCTGCGTATTGCCTGTGTTATTTGGAGGGTTGTTTGCTTTGGTTTTAACCCAAAACCTACTTGCTGAAGTGTCCCTCTGCAGAGAGCTCTTTTCCCAGAGCTGACTCAATGATCATTTATATTTTTAGAACGAGAAGGACAATCTGGGTCAGTAGGCATCGCCTCTTCATGCTGGAAATGTTAATTGCAAGGCTAAAGAAGGAATGTGTGTGAAGTTCCCTTCCTGAACCAAAACTTTGTGATTCAGGAAAGGAACATTTCTGATCATTGTGGAACTCTGGGAACACAGGACTGTCTCCAGTTCAGGCAGTTCATCTCTGGATGCTGCCTGGTCTGGAGGAAGCTCCACGTAGCTTCAGGAGGAGAAAAGAATTTTCTGGAGTTTTCCGAAACCTTCCTAAATCTGTGAGTTTTTCACATCTCTGCTTCTGGAATGATTACTCCTCTGATTCAGTTTTCATGGTCCTCAGTGATATTGCATTCTCCAGCTGTACAAGCTGGGCTGTGAATGAAGTCATTTGTGTAGTACTCTTGGTTTAAAATATCCTGTGATCTACTTTGAGGGGTGTTGAATAGGGTGGCCTTGGCATGTAAATTGGGATATGGTGTGACCTTCTCGTTCTCCGCTAGCTCTGAGTTAGACCACTTGAGGGAAGGAACAGCACTGCTGGAAATGTTTGGCTGGAGTCGTTAAATGACCAGCGACTGGCTATTCTCAGGCTGATTGTCTCTAAGGCTGTCCACAGAATCCACCCATTGCCCAGTGGCCCTTTGGGATGAGAGACTGGGTCCACGTGTTGCTCTAAACCGTGGGCCTCCTGTTGTTTCCTCTTAGCAAGCTGTGGTTCCAAATCATGGCTTATGACTTAGCATTTTGTGCAAACCAAACCAGAGAGCTAAGACTGTCCGAATTATGGCTGTATCAGAGAGTGCTAAGGAGAGAATGGATCTTATGTCTTGGAGGCCTTCCGTAGCTTTGGCCTCTGTCTGGACACCTGGGACAACTGGGGGCTGGTGCTTTCTGAGGGGGCCTTTCCAGTGGGTGTACGCAGGGAGGTCCTGCCGCACCTGTGATTACTCCAGGGTTTGCTGCATTTTGGAAATCCTCCAGGACTCCGTCATGACTTGTGGGGGTGGGTGGGGGTTGCCCAACCCTGACTGGTGTGCCAGTTGCATATCATTGTAGGCTAAGATGCCGCAACAGTAATGACTCATCCTCAACAACGAATGGATATAGACAATACTAAATATTGCAAGCTGACCTGCCCTTGATGATCAGCTGGTGCAGGATGCGGTGGTCTAGCTTCTAAGTGGGGGTAGTATATACAGCAGTGTTAACCCTTAAGAGGCAATTGTTGCATTAGTTGTGGCTTGTCTCTGGGTCTGAACCAAAGGGCTGATTATCCCCATTAAAGCCCCAGATGGCTTTGCAGCCAGCCAACCGTGGGCCTGCCCCACCCAGGTTCATTCTGTCCCGTGCAGTTACTGAGGGAAGGTCTGCTGATGGTCTCTGTCCCATGAGAGGTTTTTTGGGGGAGGGGGGGGCAGCACACACTTTCTCAGTAGCAGCTCCCACCGCCCCACAAGGTAAGGAAGGAAGACTTTAGCAAGTCTATTGTTCCACTGGTCCTGTGGGCGCTGATGATCCAAGGGCCGCCTGAGTCCTGGGATCATGAGATTTTATTTTTTTTACTGGTTCTGTTAAGTGGTAGACAGAAATGGGCTGAAATGTTGAAATAGGCAGCCTAAGAACTACTGAACAACTTGACTTTGGCCACGTGTGGTTACGTTCTTAAGTTGTGCTGCACAGAGGAGAATAATTAAAACCACTGTCCTTCTGTCCGCCAGAGGTGCTGAAGCACACAAAGGCCGTAATGCTGTGTTTTCTGAGGCAGAAACAGCACAATATTACAGCAGCAGTTCAGATTCCGCCTTGAGTAATGGCTGCTAGAGTGCTGATTATGGGCTGTAAAGGGTGGTGTGCTTGATTGCAATGGGACCCATAAATCCATATTTTGGTTGTATGTTGCTCTAACGTGATTTTTATGGTAGAGGGATATTAGCCCTTATGAACAAGTATGAAGATATCCTCACGTGTGTCTTAAGCAGCTGATTTCTTGCTTCAGCAAACTTCATGCATGCAGATGTGTTGCGAGAAATAGAGAAAGCCAGTGAGAGGGACACTGCCCCATTTTTCTCCTCAACCAAGAGGAATTTGTTCTCGCGTCAGTCCTTCCAGAAACAGAGATCAGTTCCATTCTGGCTTTTCAACTTGCCAATAATTGTGGCCTGTTTGTGTTTTGTAATGAATCACGAAGCAGCCTGCAGCTGTGGGCAGATACAGGGGAACCGGGAGGAGCTTAGCTGCAGATGGAGGGGCTGCCCAGACGTCCTCTTAAAGGAGGGGGGAGAGCAGCTGGGAGGCCCAGGAGACCCCCTGGGGTCCTGACTGGTCCTTGTGTCTACAAGATGTTGGTTGGGCAGGATGCCAAAGAAAGGGGAGAGGAAGAAACGGACAGCCCTTTCTCCAGAATATAGTACAGGGCACGGGTAGTCAACCTTGGCTCTTTTATGACTCGTGGACTTCAACTCCCAGAATTCCTGAGCCAGGAATTCTGGGAGTTGAAGTCCACGAGTCATAAAAGCCAAGTTTGCCTACCCCTGGTATAGGGGGGTCTCCTGCTCGAGCAGGGTGCTGGACTGGAGAGCCCCACCAATTCTGTTACTCTATAATAATGGAGGAAGAAACTCCAGAGACCGTTCGGATATTATTCGTGCAACCGTCATGACTGTGTTAGAGAACTGGCTTCCCATGTCTTCTTCCAGGATGTGTTTCCAATTTCCTCATCTGGCAGTTCTTCGGGGTCTCACAGCCAAAGTTTAATTAGGACCAACACACATCAGCCTCTGAGATTGGCCCAGTTGGCTGACTGCTGCCTCTCGCTGACATGCCAGTTAGGGCAATACACCCTCACACAAGGGGGTCGTCTACAAGACTAATGCCCCCCCCCCCGGCCACCCAGTGAGAAATGCAGCAAGGGAGAGAATCTGATATGGGTATAAGATGCCTTAGTTTCTGTTGCTGAAGAGAAAGGTGGTTGTGGGGAAACTGACAGCAGATCCAGTTACGTATTTCTAAAAAAGCATGTAATGTTTTATTGTGGTTTATTTGGTGCAATTTTAAACAGATTTACTAGTTAAGAATTCCCTTGATATGCCTGTACTTCATGGCACTTCCAACTCTTTGACACAGTTTGCTGGGAAGCAAGTTGTGTATCTTCCCCATTTCTCATTTTAGCTTTCCTGAATGAGGATCATTCATGGTAAACCCCCACCTGAGTGGAGGGGAGGATGTGGTTCCTGTGGTGGTAAATGTAGGGATGAGGTACCGATTGGGAGTGCGGCTTCCAGGCTGTCACAGACAAAGCCTGGGGATTGTGGAAGCCGAAGTCTCTGCCGGGCACCAGGTTGTAGAAAGCGGCTTCAGAGGACCAAGCAAGAAAGATGGTGGGATCTTCTAGAGAAGAGGCTTCGTTAGCTTGTCTCTCTGGAAAAAGAATCCACACAATTCTGAGACAGAAACAGAGGATTGAAGTTGTACAACGTATTTCCAGAAATCAAGCCTGGCGTGGAAGTGGTAAAGCTTGGCCATTTCAGACCGGAAGCTTTCCTTGAATCTCTGTTTTGGTCTTTTGGTCAAAAGTCCTACAGGAAAAGTGAATATTTAACTACTTGTCCAAGGGCAGCCGGCCATCCCTCTTACTGGAACCTAAGCTGAGATGCCTGGAAAACAATCACGGGTGGATGCTAGCCTCCAGCTTGAATGGGGTTGAGTAAAAACCAGATGCGCCTTTTCAGCAGATGGTGAGGAAAGCTTGTTAACTCTTCTTGGAAGCAGACTGATCATGTGCTTCCTCTGCCTTGGGATTATTGCATTGTAAGAGACCGATAACGGTGGGCTTTCAAACCTAGGTTCTGGTTTAGTGTGACATTACACTAAATCACAGCTTTATCAGCAAACGATGGCTAATCTGGTTTAGCACATGTGCCTTCTGACGTGTTAGTGTGCGTAGTAATGCGTATTTTTTTGCAGGCAAAAGAAGTGTTTGAGACATCCACCCGTGTTACGAATAAACTCTCATTGCAGGCTCACTTGATGTTTAAGGTAGCATTCTGGCTTATTTTGCAGGATTGCCTCCATGCTTTGGAGTTGGCAGGAGGGTAGGAAATAATTGCTCAAATAATTGCTAGACTAAAATTGTTGTGCAAAATTGTGACTATTATTCATAGGCTACATTAAAAGGAGTAGCCCTCATGCAAATGTTTGTGCTGGGCATGATGGTGGAGCGGGGGGGGGGGGCTCCCTCCCCATCCTGTCCTTAGCTCCTTTTCATCAGATTTGGGGACTTTAAGGGATTAAGCTCACAGCAAGTAATTTGAAGAACCACTGAATTAAAGTGATTTATTGAAGCATACCTCATTTGTTAATGGCATGTTTTACTAAAATACTTCCTCACTTCTGCCTAAATCACAAGCTAGAATTAAGCCTCCCTCATCCTCTGCTCCTGCCAGCAGCAGCATTCACGGTATCCCTATGTGCATTTCAGGACAAAGAGTTTTAAGCTTTCGAAAATAATAAGCTGCATGAGTTTACTCAGAAAATCGTGTTTTCCCTTATTGTCGGCATCCAAAAGAAAAAACACGGCTGCAGAA